TCAAATGCATAACAATGATTTCGAGAGCGAGAGTGATAAAGTCCACATTAAGCACGCAAGAGACAGAGCGCAACTTGGTGCAACTTGAGCGCCGAGTGGTAAGCTGTGAAGACGGGAATGGTTAGAGCAAATGGAAAAATGGCATAAATAAAAGCAAAGCAGTGAAATCGCCGGGTCTGATGGGAGGTCTAAGAATAAGGTCAATCAGGCGTGAAAATACACGTTTTGAGCTGACGTTTGTAATCGAGTAATGCGGTCGTTTCTGTGGAAGAAGGGCATTAGGGTGGGAGTGTATGCGGTATGTGTGTGTGCAGTGTTTGCATTGAATTTCAATGGCCAATGACCAGAAGGTAATCACAGTCGTTCAGCGAGTTTATGAGCTTGTGTTTTGTGTGTTGGACGGTTGGAAGTACTTTAATAATTTTAGGTGGGTGTAAACTGTGTTGGTCGCGCAGTGAAACGCTATTAAGGGAACTGGTTGAAGTCTAGGGGACTGTGAGTTGCTTCTTAATAGATAACCATTATGCCTAAAGCCTTAAAGAGCAATTTCGACGACTGTCTTTCAACTTACCACAGTCTTTAAAAGTCTTTCGTAAGAAAATTTTTAATTCTGGAAATTATCTTGAAAGCTCTTTTTGGTCTTTCGAAAGGCTAATTGAAAAATTTGCTAACGAGGAGGACATAGCGTTATTATGCTTGTATTTCAGCAATAAGATTCCTAAAATTAAATTAAATAAAAAAATATATATTTCTTAACAACTAAAAATTAAAATAAAATAAAAGTGAAAAAGAAAGAAGGTTAAATTATAAAAATTAACAAATAAATAATATAAATTTCTAGAAATTAAATTAATTAAAAATATATATAGATATGTATTTTATTTCTAAAATAATAAAATTTAAAAATTAAATTAAAACAGAAAACAATATACATTTAAAAAGGAAAAATAAGTTCCTACAAATTTAATGAAATTAAAAATTACTTTTCTTTTTAACACAAATTCTAAATTTTAGAAAAAAATTAAATTAAAAATTAAAAACTATATAAATAAGGAAAATTCCAAAAAATAAGTTCCTAGAAATTAAATTAAACTAAAAATTAAATATTCTTTTCTTTCTAAAACAATGAAAGCTAAAACTGAATTAAAAAATAATAATTAAATAAAAAGAGATAAAAAATTCCGCTGCCCGGGAATCCGAATCTAGGATCTCTTAAATGGCACACCAGTGCTTTGCTCACTTGGCCATTGTAGCTGTTGGAGCAGCGCGAGCAAAAGAAACTCCATTAGGAACTTTCTTAAGTGCTTTCGTCAAAAGAGCTTTTCACCATGAAAGTTGGCAATGGAGCTTTTTTTTGTAAAACTATCATGCCAGAGCAAACTAAATCTTTCATCCTAAGGAAAACTAAGGAAAGGAAGGTGGTTATATATCATATCGTCGTTTAAAGTACAAAACCGCGTATCGTCATTCTGCAAAACCGCGTAACTGACATTGGCTGCCAAAGAATGGATTTGCTCACACAAGCTCTGGGCTCAATCCTAATCCATTCGTTCTGAAATATACTAGCCAGAGATGCGATTGCTTTATAAAAAAGAGAACCACTTTGAAATATGAGTGTTTTTACGCTCTAGAAAATAATTTCTACAAGTTCACATACGAGGTTTTGCATTTTGCTGATACGCGGTTTTGCATTTTGTTGATACGCGGTTTTGCACTTTAACCGACGATATTTACATGTCTCTAAACTTTTCTTACTATTTAGTAAGACTTAAGAGGAAACTTGTAAAGTGTTCCCTTATTGCTCTTATAAGATATCGTAACACTACCCTCAAAAGCACTCTTTTATCGTCACCACCTCTGACCATGAGCAACACAGTTCCACCTCTCCTCCTTTACCTTAAAAGTGAAAGAAAATTCGAAATCAGTAGAAAATAGCCCGACTTAAAAAACTACGCCTAAAAAAGATGGACCTTGAAGTACTTGAACATCTGCTCTGTCGTTCCTAGCGAGGAATGGGCGTAGAAGCTCTTAAAACTGGCACACTCGTCACATTCATCGCCACAAAGGGAATGGGTAAAAGGCAGAATCACGGAAGTCTTCATTGGACGTGATGGTCGAGTTCGGAAAGGCTAACAAATTATCCAGCGACCTATACGAAGGCTAGCCAACTTAAGATATTGCGAATCCACAGAGGATTCGCTAGGAGGTAGGATACAGTTCCATTAATTTATTCTTCGATAGCACGAAAATAGAAAGAGATCTCCTTTTGTATATAGTCTGCTGGATGGAAAGTACGCGCTGATGTCATGCAAAGAAGAACATTATATTTAGGCTCGTTAGGCGGGGGAATTACGACCGCTCTTTAGCAGCCGCTACGTCGAACAGATAACACATCTTACCACTCAATTCGCCTCAGAACTCATTAGAAGTGAAACTTTGGATTCCTCAAAAAATAATTATTAAAAGCTGTTTGGTAAAGCATAATATTAAATGAGCACTGACACAGGCCCATGCCATGGACTGAACCCAAAGTAATACCTGTTGGCAAGAGTTAAACTTCGCTGAATCTCCGTGCTTACATTATTGGTGATACCAATGCTGGATCCAAAGGGTCCTAAGTACACAAATCCTAAAAAGCGAGGCCTTTTCAGTGTTGTCAGCTGGTATTTTGCTTCGTCATCGTTCAACGCTAGATCAAACACTTCTTCCTCTTAAGCAAGATGAAGCCAATCTAGCGACTCTGGGTATCGGGGCCCAAAGGTGTACCGAGCCAGACCAAAGATGTAATTGACCCTGAAAAGACTTTCCCAATTTGGTTATAGCTGAAGGTTGTGCTCAACGTTACGCTTATCGTATCTGAGTTAGCCGAAAAGAAGTTGAAAAATGTAAACAATTGCTAAGAAAACGAACCACTGTGGCAATTAATTTAGTTTAGGGTACTTCAGTGCAAATCAATTATTTTTTTTTTGCATATTTAAATGCAACTCAATAAGCTCTCTTTTGATTGTACTTATACTCTTTTACCACTTTGTACCTTGTGGAACGTAAATTTATCTTGGCCAAGTAAAACACCTGTGCTCGGCGCTAACCACGTTTTCGCTCTTTCTCTAACCCGCTTCCGCTCTGGAAGCCTTCAGCACATAAGCATTTGGGTTTCTCACAGCTCACTATTTATGTATGAATGTACGTACCAGTGTTGCCAAACATGCGCTTTTCCTACCAAAACCGATAGCTTTGGTAGGCTAGATTCGATTTTGGTAGGTTCCGCGACAATAATAATAGTTATTTGCCAAAAATATAAAATATGTACATATATACACACACCTTGTTTACACGAATTTATCACCGGTGCCTTCGTATTACGGCGACCGTAAAAATGTAAATATACATGCATACCTGATTCTTAAGTACAATATTGCCAATATACAAAACTAGCCTATTGGTCTTTCGATACGGTAGTAAGACCCGTTGTCACACATGTGGCACTAGCCTGATGGCCAAAGGCTAGGCAAGTAAAGGAGGGTGCCACACACAGGGGATATGGGCACCTAAATAACGGATGCCCCTTATGTCCTTGCAGGCGTTCCTCCTTTGTCTATTCTGTTTGAAAAATAGGCCTGCTGGAGCGCCCTACGACTGCCCAATATGATCCGAAAGAAAATTGGAGATCTTCTGAATCATTTGGAAGTTCTAAAGGCATTCCTGGATAATCACGAGTTATTCTTCGACAAACCCTACAAGGTCAGAACTCCTGAAAAGGACAGCTGTGAAGTGACAACTATAATTGACGAAGGGTCACAAGTATGGTATACCGACGGATCAAAGATACTCGACGAGAGTACTGGTGCAGACTTATTTTGACAAAAATTCAGGAAAAGTCTGCCAATTTGCACACATACCCAACTATAATCCAGGCTGAAGTCTTCGCAATCGAGGTCTGTGTAGAAGGACAAATGCGGCCAAAATAAATAATATAATGTCGGATAGTCAGGCATGTTAAAGGCCTTAGAGTCTTTTAAAACGGTATCAAGCTTGTGGACAGCTGTAAAACTCTCTTGAACCACTTGGATGACCACAATAGCGTAATGCTGTGGTGACATGAAGGGTTTGAAGGCAACGAAAGGGCTGACTGTCTCCAAAGCCTGAACCCAAATGCGCTTGCATGGTCCATAGCTTTTTGTGAGCTGGTGGAGGAGACCCCAGAGCATATCCTATGTGACTGCCCACGTATCATGAATAGCAGACTGATACACCTTGGGGATCGATTGTCTTCTTCATCCACAATTAGAAACATGGCGCCCTCCAAAAAGCATAACTTCCTAAATAGCCTAAGGTTGGAGTGATCACAAGTAGGGTTAAGCACAACAGATATTCTTAGGTCGCAGCGGGAGTATCCCTTACTTAATAATAATAATAATATGTATGTGTAATGAGACAAACATTTGTGTAAGTTTGTACAGTAAAATTAATTGTTATACGTAGTTAATTTGTTTTTGTTGTACTAGCTGTCTTTTAGTTATACTAAATGTTATGTTGTCTACATTTTTAATAAACTTGGCGTTGGATAAACAATTTAAGAACTTCAAAAATTTTTTGTAGGATTTGGTTGGTCTTGGTAGGACATTTTGGTAGAAAAAAAAAAATTGCTCGTGGCAACACTGGTACATACATAATTTAGTGAAACTTCAATAACCCACCAAAGAAACGCTCGTTCGTTGCTGCGCTTCGTTGCTTTGTCAGTCGGTTGAATTGTTGGTAACAGCAGTTGCCTATGTGTTTGTACGTTTACGACTATTTTGCTAAGTTTGTTGGTAGTTTCATGCACATGTTTTAAGCCAAAACTCAACGGTTGACTTGGTTACTTATACTCGTTAACGCTTTTTGTTTGCATATATGTATGTGTGTGTGTGTGTGTGTGTGTGTGAGCGCCATTGCTGACGGTGTTTTCACTGTGTTTTGGTCTCGGAATTTTGCCATTTCAGTTAATATCGAACATTTGCGCTGACAGTTAGTGCTGGCGGAAGAAATTTTTTCGAAAAATTATAGTGTTGGAAACAACAACAAAACACAAATCATAATAACAAATAAAAACAAAGCAAACAAAACAAAGAAAAAGTTATAAATAAAAGCAAAACAAAAAGAAACGATCGTTAACAACAATTTTGACACCGTCGTAAGTTCTTAACTGGTCCGTGGTATTTTTTCGTAAAAGCATCGGACGCTGAAGTGAAGGCTTTATATAAAGGGCTTTAGTAAAGTGGATCGCGCGCGTTATACATAATATATACATACATTCTTCAAGTAACTGTGAGTGGGTGTGTAAACCGCGAAGACGTGCAGTGGAGGTGTGAAGTGTTGTTTATCTGGGCAAAAAGGTGAAAATCAGCAATCACATCAATATTTTTTTTTGTTGTTAGCAATTTCAGTGAAAAGCGATCAGAGTGCATGTCAGTGCAGAATCAACGATTTTTTTTTTTGGCGTGTAGTGGCTGTTGATGGAAGCGCGCTACAACTTTTTTGTCTACGATTTTGTTTTGTCAATAAATGTTGTCGTTGAAATAGTAACAGTAAAACAGAACATCCGCAAGTGACACGTACTATGTATGTACTACAAACATACATGTTTATGAATGTAAGTAAGTACATACATACGTATGTACCTAGGTATAGTTATGTTTATATGCACATAAATGCAAGTGACACTAATAGTGCACAGTGAATGAATCAATTTACATAGCTCAAATTTGAAATGATGATTGTTGTAAAAAGTTTATGGGAAAATTTTTATAAAATTTTATAAGCGGACGAAAAAGGAAATAGAGCAGGGTAACCAAGTGACACTGATATTAGATAATGTAATGTGAGATAATAATAAATAAGTTCAAATGAAGTTTACCTGGAAACAACGACGGTAACTGTTATGCGTTTCTTCAAAATATTCGATAAATAATAGTTATTTTTTCAAACAAAAATTAAGAGGTAAAATTTGACATACATTTTTTCGGTAAAAAATATCAGTTACCATTTACTTTAATTGTTTCATAAATAAAAATTAATTTTTTCTTTGAAAAGTAACAGTTAATATTCACTTTTTGCCTTAAAAAATAGCAGTAATCATTTTTAATCAAAAATAACACTTAAAATTTGACTTATATTTACTGCTATATTAAAATATAGACCAATTCTTTCCGTCTGATTTTTTCGAATTAAATTTTCAAAAATATATTTTATTTTGGATCCCTTCCTGGAAAATAAATACAAAAAATTACCCAGAATAATTATTTAAACTTTTATAACGGAGTAAGACTAATTTTTTCGTTGAGGGGCGAGCTATCACTTGGTAGGAACTGCTTTAGATGCTAAGTCAGCGAAATATCCGAATGATGTATTAAAGCTTTTCCTAGGTTTAGGTAGATACTTCTCATCATAAGGAGACCACGTCAAATTGCGTATACCGGACACCAAAAAATGGAGCAGAAGCTCAGTCTAGCACTTAGCGCAGATGCGAGGCCCGGTTGTTTGTTATTTAGTTCATATGACCGGAACAGAGCCCTCCAAAAACGATTTCTGTGAAAACTCTCTGAATGTAGAATAGCAAGCAATGATGATACAACACCTACTTCGTCACAGCCCGCTTGTCATCAGACGTGTAGCTTTCATTAGTGAGGGGAAAATATCTTTTTAAAGAGATATACTTAAAACGTTCTGAGCTGGGGTCTAATAAGATTGGGTCGGTTGGCTAAGTAGTAGTAGTGAAATGTATAGGGTGATTCAATATGATCACAAATGTTCGCAATATAGCCATTGTTTCATGCCACATATATTCCAAGTCCATGTCTCGAAATCCGTTTATAAAAAGTTGTTTACCCGTGTACCCGTTGTTTACCATTCACCGTGACAGAGTTACCGGCATCATTTTTTAAGAAGTACTGTTTGATCGTTGTGGGTGCGTTGTTTTTTTTTTGTAGTGGGTGCAGGTTTGCTAGTTAAAGTATCCGTTTTAGTGGAAATGTAGCTTATAATTATTTATTTATTTTTTTTATTTGCATCAAATTTCTAATAAATTTTACACATTGTTCAACTGAGCATCGCTCCATGAAAAAGTTTGCCAAGACCTGTGGTACCGATTGTCTGAAATAAAACACAAACACCGTAACATATCACAATTAATTGCTGTCAAAGATCTGCAACACGCTTGTATGACCCTATCTATTCCCGCTAAGACGAGTTTGGAACTGTGACACGAAAGGTTTTTCGGTTGATACGCTAACTGGTGTTTACCTCATTAACGACGGCCAGTTTTGTTTTGACATATACTATTGGAAGAGAGAAGGTTTTATTCTGCTTCGGATTCGTTACAGCCACCTCATTGCGCCTCTTTTTACTCTAAATGTTTGTATGGCCGGAAACCTAGATGAGCGAAAACTCTGCTGACTCTGTCGGAGAGTTTAACATGCGCAAGTTATAATCTTATCTAATTTAGAAGCAATAGTCCAATTCTGACCCAACAGATCTCTTTAGTTCCTCCAGCTCCATCCATTTAGCTTCAGTTTCCTTCAGCTGGACGCTCAGTGTCTGATTACAGTTGTCTGATGAGTATCCATTGGCACATACAACCAGCTACGTGAGTCGTACCGCCGGTTTACCGACTTTTGTCTTCCAGCTCAAACTTGTGTCGAATACTACATACGTCCAAATACTCTTTCGGGAGATATTGTGAAAGTTCTTCCGTTGAAATAAGATAGTCTAACCTAAAAAAAGCGTTGAACGATTTCGCTTATTTTGGAGAGGGTAGCATTGAAGCAGTGATAACAGTGTATCATCTTCGTATGCAATTTACCTTACGCCTTCTTAAGATCTAGAATCTAAGATTTATTATGCACTATACTATGTGAGTTTTCTGAGGCTAGTCCTTATATGGCAAGAGATCCCAAGCCTACGAAAGTGCCATTAAAGGCTATCTCCGGAACATATACTAACTGGCGCTTTTGGTCGAAATGTATCGAATCGATTGTACTTACGTCTTAAGCATTACTTTGACCTTCCGCTACTTATAAAGCTGAGGACATTGGAAGATGCAACGTTTCAGATTTTAGAACGAAGCGATAATCGATCTAAAAGGTTAATAGATCTGAAGGAAACATTTTTCGGTAGAAAAGAAAACGACATTAGACTTACTTTATAACGCGTCAGCTCACAAAACCTGCAGTCCATCCCTTCAGGGAGTCCCTTTTGATAAGGAGATACCTTAACTTGCAGTGTCCCGCCAGGTAGCCCATAAGAGTGCTTCGACCCTCCTGGCTAATATTAATCAGTCATTCTGAGGATCCTAAAAAACGGAGTTATGAATCTCTCGAGTTACCTTTAAAGCTCGCACATTCGCCAGTATATTTGCAGCGTGTAGAAACTTGGCAGCAAGGCTACTGGATTTTTTAAGGTTTAAGGGGGAAAATATTTGGGCCACAAAATTTGAATTTGGGTAAAATACAAGTTTGGGGGAATATTTAAAAATTTCGGGTTTCAGATTCTTTCTAATTGTTGCCTTGTTTAAAAGGACCAACTTTTAAATTTAAGAAGAAAAAATTAAATATCTTATATTCAAATCCAAAAATTGAACGTCAACTCATTGTTAAATATTTTTTTTAAATTATTGTTTTTTAAGGGATTTTGAAGTTTTAAAGTTGAAAATATTTGGTACAAAAAAAAATTCTATAGGAACTTGGCGCGAGTCAAACATTAAAAAAAATTAATTTGGGTGAAAAACAAATTTGTAGAAATATTTTTAAATTTAAGGCTAGAAGGAAACAATTTTAAAATTTGGAAAGAAAAATTAAATACATTGGAATTTCTAGTTTTTAAGAGAAAAAAATGGATTTGGGTAAAAAACAAATTTGGAGAGTAATTTTAAAAGTTCAAGCCTCAGATTTTCTACAAAATTTTGCCCATTTTAAAAGAAAAAACTTTTGAAATTAAGGAAGAAAAAATGATATACATTATAATTTTTGAGTTTTAAGGGGGAAATATTTGGCACAATAAGATTTTATTTTGGGTAAAAGACAAATCTGGAGAAAAATTTTAAAATTTCCAGGCTTCAGATTTTTTTCGAAACTTTGGCCAGTTTAGAAAGAGAAATTTTGAAATTTAGGAAGAAAAAATATTTTTTTTTTAATTGTCAAAAAAAATACATACTAAAATTAAAAATATAAATTAAAGTATTAACCATTTGTGACTATTAAACACCAATTTTTTTTTTTTAAATAAAAACAAAATATTTCGCTCGCCAATGTTCCGTACTGTTACGGCATTTAATTAACTTTTTTGTTGTTGTGGCTCAATTCGCAGACTAGCAAATAACTAAAAGCAAAAACAAATAAAAAACTGCACAGAAGTAAGAGCAACCAAAAGCTTAGCACGTGCATGCCACAACAAAAGTGGGAAAAGCAGCAACTACGTAAAATTGCAATGGCAAAACAAAATGCGAGGCAAAATACATTGTAGAAACTAAGTGTAACTAAAATAAACGTTCGCAATAAAAAATAGCGATTATATTAAAAACGAAAAATTTTACAAAAACAAAAAACGGAATTAACGTAACGCAGCAGCGCACACAAGAAAAGTCAACAGCGCGTGAAGAACATTACGGTGCGGTGGGGTGGGGTACAAGCGAGGGCGGAAGATGCGCTAGCGCTTACGGTAGTAGTTGAAAAAAAATGTGCACATACAAGCATATGTACATATGTTTATAGCCGACATAGCCGACATGCCGGAATAAAGATAGTGACAGATAAGACAGTAGAACTAGAGAAATGTGCGGCTTTTAGTGGAACTTTGCGGAGATTAAAAAAAAAAAACAAAAAATGTTTCCAAGATTTCTAAATTATGCAAAAAAATACTGAGCTAACAGTATAGCGTTTGAAAAAAAAAATATTCGTAGATTCGTAGGCATTTCCAAAACGCCCCCAAGTGTGCAAGCTTTTTGTGCGTGTCGATTCGGAATGAATGAATTTATGAATGTGTGGAAATATGTATGTAAATATGTTTGTGTGTGTATGTATATGTGGGCATTTTTGTACTCATGGCATGCATGCGCGTATGTATTTTATGTGCTCTACTAACTTCGCATTGCATTCACATCTATATATTTATTTACGCAAACATACCGACAAACACATACTAACCACTGTATAAAAGAAAAATGTAATAAAAATCTAACAAATGCAACCCTGCCGCGAGAAAGGCAGGAAAAGCATTGGTCCCTTAACTCACTCGAGTATGCAATAATTCCCTCTGGTGCGACTTATTCACCCATAACAGTCATCTATGTTAAAAACAAACTTTACAATTACCGAGGAATGAAAAACGACACCAAAACTTGTAGCCAGCCTTCCTTCATTTTGATAAATTAAAAACCTGAGCAAATGCATATTGCTGCAAGCAACCAACATTTTTTGTTTGTTTGTTTGCTTTATGAAAAAGTGACATCAAAAAGGTGGAAACATTTACCTGCCTCAAAGTACGTACAGCCATACACCCCGTTAATAGTGAAGTAAAAGCCGCTTAACGTCTTAACGTGCGCTGACCTTCAGCAACCGCAGCAAAACTTCGTACAGCAAACGAAGGAAAGAAAATTCAAAAAATAAGAAAAATTATTTGTATTGCAACTGCAACAGCACCGCTACATTCGATTGGGAGGCGATGGCTAAAGAGGCGTATCATTATTACCAAGTGGAACTAAATGCTGTTGGCCAACAACAACATCGTTTGCAAAACATTATGAATTTTGTTGAAAAAAGGGGGAAACCCCAAAAAAAAAAGCTTGATTAGCACGGTTTCCATGTGACCTTAGTTGGCCTCCGATGTGGCAAATGAGAAATGAGTGCCCGTTGCAGTGAGGAAAGCAATAATCACTTCAGCTTTAGCTGTAAGAGAGAAAGATATATATAGGAGAAGAGGAAGAATTATTGGTGTTACATTATCAAATATCAGAAATCTTTAACCTTTACTGGTGTCGTAAATTTGACATATGTATGTAAGAAACAAACATTCTATGGATTGGGCCAATTTGTCAGATTACTCGCAATTTTTGACTGACATTTAGTACCCAAAGCGCAGAATTTCTGGTAAAAGTCAGTAAATATAAAATCTGTATTAAAGTTGCCTACCTTATTGGACACTGCTTAGGAAATATAGGCGCAGAAAGCTTAGCTATCCCTTGAAATAACTTTTGAGGAAGTTGTCCGGCTGAAAACGAGACCATTCAACATCTTCTCAGCCACTTAAATGCTTTTGATGTACATAGAACCCGAATATTAGGAAAACACTTTTTGAAGAACTTTAAGACAGAAGAATTCTGAATTCTATGAGAATGCGAAATCGGTAACAATTCATCCACGAAAATACGGGAACAATCAAATACATATTAAAGGATAACGAAAAATCTACGCAGCAACACAAAGAGCCCGGTACGTACATAACTGTAGTTTGGTGAGACGACCACCTAACGGGATCTAGGCAGACCAAACCTTAGCTTTGATTTTGGTAAATCAACACATCTCTTTTAGAATTCTCATACCTTACGACATATATGTGTGTAAATATCTTCAAAGGAAGCCGCCATTGCTTCATTCTCTTCAAATTTAAGAGGTCAAAGTCATTGGTTCGTCCGTTGGTTTTTGGATCGTCTCGTCACCATTTTCTGAAAGCATCTTCGAAGGTCCTAGAGGTATGTTAGCAAAAATTAGGCTATTCGAAGATCAGTTTAGATAAAGAGACAGATATATTTATTTTGATGATACGGCTTGATTCGTCCGATACGTTAAGAAGGTGATGTGTGTAGTTTGGAACGAATTTCCGTCATAACTTGTCTAGTTTAATTTGGAAAATGGCAGGCACTCAAGATGGCACAAAGCCGCAAGAGCTTTGTCTCCAAACATAAGTAGATAAGAAATGATGGAACTTCGTTCGAAAGAACATAATAATGATATATTATTCTTGGTCACTCTTGTGTGATCTCGAGTATAAATAATCCGAAGACAAAAAAACACATCATGTTTATCAGCATAGTCTGGCCTGACATTCAATGCTGCGATACTTACGAAAGAGAAAGAAAGAAAAGGATCGACACAGATAGTATACTCTTTATTTGATCAATAGACTATATTTTCTATACATATATTTAAGTCCAGACAGTATAAGTAAGAAAAATATGCTGATTTATTTTTAAAGGATCGACCAAGTTACAGATCATGCTTTTCTAAGCCTGACGATTTCTTAGGGTTAGTAGTCCGATTCTGAGCTATGTATCCTATCAGTATAATTTTAGAGTACTTATTTTCATATGTAATCTAACGGGGTCAACTAAAGGGTTCTAAATTTTCCTTTTTTCAAAGTGTCTACTGGGACTGGTTTTTAAGCAGGAGGTTTGGGAGATCTTTCAATAGAAAATATAAAAAATGCTATCGGGAAAATTTTGATCTAAATTAAAATTTCCAGTCTGGAACCTGTTAGCGAACTACACATTTCTGCATTAACACTAAAGGCCTGTTTCCAGCCTCAAGAAAACCGACAAATTCATATAAAAATACGCAAAAGAAATGGAAAAGAAGTTTTCTTCTATCTAAATTTCTTAAATCAGTTGGCAGCTCTCAAGAAAAAAATGCTCGTATATTTATTTCTTCAAGAAAATTTACAGCAAAGGCAAAGTGTTTTTTAAAGCAACAGAAATAATGAAAAATATTTCTTATGATTTTTGTTGAGAGCTGGATTCTAAGCTTAATAAATAAAACTATAGAATGTAAATATGTATACCGCTTACATTAACACTTATTGGTGAAGGGTATCTCTTCTTCTTCTTCTCTCCCAACTGTATATATGTCATCAATTTTATGATAAAATAGTGTCATACCGCCGCAAATTGTGTATAAACTAAATAACCAAAAACATTTATTTATAACAAAATAAACATTCTATCATTCAAGGGATGAACATGCATTTTAAAAAATATAGTATTGAACGAAAACTAAGTTAAAACTTTACGTCTAACTCGACAATGCTTCAAAACCATCACTTAATAAATAATCATTACTAAACAATAATCAACAATAAAATAAAATCCTTTGTGTGAACGTCATATCAAACTGGTGTAAAGAAATCTACGTGTACAAAATGCTCGCTTGGGTTGATTAGTTATGCATAAACCTTGGCTAAATCGTAGATCCTTATATGCTGAACGCGATCGTGATGATCCAACAATGCATCATCACCATACCGATTTGCTATCCTTCTCCACGTCGTCAGCTAAAAAGCATAATAATCCTACATCGTTGATGTCGTCGTCGTCACCGTCATCGTCTATGTCAATGTCGTCGGTGTCGTCGTCGTCGTCGTCGCCATTATCAACGAACATTTTTCATAATTCTACCATTGGTTCAATTAATTTAGAGGACTACGTAACCGCAATGGAGGCACGTTCCAAGGCATTAGATCGTCAACAATCGGAAGTTGATGTTTGGGCACAATTACAACAAAAAGAATCGGATATATTATTAGCAGCGGAATTGGGTAAAGCATTGCTGGAGAAAAACGAAGAATTAGTGAAGCAGCAAGAGAAACTCATCGAGGATTATTCAACGAAAATTGAGGTAAGCGAAAAAGAGATTGTTATTAGATACATATGTATGTAATTTCTTCGTTTGAAAATTTAAATAATTTTATTATTATATTGGTGCAGTATGACTGTTGGGTGAGCAACCTTATATTTATCTATGTACGTACATATGTATGTGTCATATTCTAACATTGAAAACTGAAGTCATTGACTATTAACTTCCTTAGTTTGTTCAACTCTTCCGAAATAGATAAACAAATAAAATATATATTATTTACATAGTAGGTGTATTAGTCTGCTGGTAAATAGTCCAATTCAATTTGCCCGCAAACTAAAGAAACGTAATATAGCAAGTTGAGCTAACCTTTGACGAGGCCACTATGATAATTACTACCACTGCGTGGGGGGTGAAATTGGCTAAACAATGACTAGTTATTTACGCAGGAAAAATTTCGCTGTTCTTGACACACCTTGAACTTAACAACGAAATACTTATCAGAAATCAAACGAATAGCCAAATAGACAATTTTGTACTATGAAGGTGAGAAAAGAGGAATGACAGGCAGGGAGCTAGGAGGTTTTGTTGTGAAACATGCTGCCTTTGATTACACTCGCATCTAGCCTTAACCGCTAAAAAAACGTAAGCGACATTTTTTCAAAATTTTCATTTTTATGCAGAAATGCAGCTAGATACTCTAAGAGCAGTCCTGCGTGAAAAAAAATGTAAATGCCGTTACGTTATTTTTGTGTATAAGGGCTCGATATGTATTCTACAAGGAATTCATATAAAGTGAAGTTAAATTTAAGTCCAGCCCTGAAAAACCCTGAAAATTTCTAGAAAAGGTTACCACATCCCCGAAAGTACGAAAAGTTTGGAAAAAATTGCTAAACAAAATTCCAAAAAATCCGATGATTACCAGAAGGTCTCGAATAAAGCCGAGTAAAACACGAAAAGCAAAGCACGAAAGTTTCCGAAAAGTACTCAAAAATTTTTCTTAGTCTCAAACTGTCCCAAAAAAAATAAAAATGTTTCGAAAATTCCGAGAATAGGCCAACAAAACACGAAGGACTCCTTAAGATCCCAAATAAACCCCGAAAGCTTCCGAGAAATACCGAAAAAATCGCGAACAAAGGACAAAAATTCGCAAAAAGTGAGAAACAATCCAAAAGCACACGGAAAGTCATGGAAAATACTGAAACAGCACCCAAAAAAGTTAAAAAACTACTCCTGTAAAATGCCGAAATCTCGAAAAATCTAAAATGACCCGAGTAAAACACGAAAAAGCACGAAAAATGGGCAAAAGTCTCAAATAAATGCCGAATTATTCGAATTATCCCACAAAATTATATAAATTCCCGAGTATGTTCGAAAATGTCTCACAAATTCCGAAATACTTGAGGAAACACGTATAAGTATTTCGAAAAGTTACCGAAAATTGATATGTTTTGAAAACATACCATGGTTTTCGAGCAAAGCAAAGGAAGTTATAATAAGTCCCAATTTTCGAAAAATCTAAAAGATAACAGAGCAAAATATTATAAGTCACAAACAATTTTTTAAGGTCACAAACAAACCTCCAAAAATTTCGAAGGATTCCGGAAAAAATTGCGAAAATCATGATGAAAAATTACCAAAAAAAATCGAAAATACCAAAAGACTCCCAAAAACTTGAGCAAATTCTTGAAAATCAATGAAAAAAAAAGACGCAAGAGGGACTTATATAAAAATCACTGAAAACCATAAAGAAACCCCTAAAGGTTTTCGAAGAATTCTGAAAAGCCCGAAATACGAAAGAGTTCAGAAAAATGTCAATAATGCTCAATTCAAATGCAAAAAGTCTCAGCTAATTCCGAAAGTTCCTGAAACCTGCCCGATAAGTTTGAAAATGCCAAAACCCATTTTTTTGTTTTATCAGCCTTCATGTCCACATTACTTGTACATTATATAGCACTGTCAGATTACAGCTGTTAAATAGTGGCCAGAGTTAAGTAAACGCTATCCTGCCGTAACCAACAATTTTTCACATCAAAAGTCCTATAATCGAGTTAAAGAAAACCACAATAACATCATAACTTTTTATATGACAGAATCAGAGAAAAATCTATAAAACCACGAAAGTAAAAACTAAAATGAAAAGAAAAGTGAAATTCGATAGTAAAGTGCACGCACAAGCATGTGAATAACTACGTGTGCATAATGACTATAAAATCTAGCAAAAGTTCAAGGACAAACCACACGAACGACATGACTGATTGCCGAGTGGCGTAAACCACATGCCACCTAGCTGACTTAATTCTTTACTTACAAATACAAATAAGTGCTACAAATTTATAGAATACATATACTTAGTATATGTAGATATGTATGTATATGCTGTATACAAGCCATATATCACTTCCACTAGCTATATATGTACATAAATATGTACGTATATTCCTTCAAACGCATACCAGTCTTTATTGCCTCATGGTGGCTCGCGGATAGTTTGTGGTTGGGTGCAGTTAAATTTTTGATGAGTTTCTTTTTTTTTTTTTTTGTGGCGCTACTTGGGTGTGTACGTGAATGGCTTTCTCATGTTTCGACTGTATATTTACAAGCCAGCCAATGAATGTCTGTCCGTGGGAGATCCACTGATAATACGCCCCCTTGGCTCGTGTCGCTGTGAATGCGCGCTTGAAGTGCCACTGAAGTGATAACAATTTCAAAACAAACTTTTATAAATTATTATTCATTAGACTGCGAATATAGTAAATGTAGCCTACTGTCATTAATGCCCACCTAAAATTGTTGTTTCAAAATTTATGAACTACTTGAAGAGGGAATTTTCTCAATTATCTCTGAGATTTTTACGTATGAACCAAGGTACATTGAACAGGTAGTATCAGTAGAGCAGCTGATTTGATTTATTTTCAAATTATTTGGTCTCGAAAATGTCAAATATTTTTAATTTTTTCTCACAAAAATTCTGAATTGTTAAAATCCATTTGCATGTGAAACCTTTTCCCATACAAAACAAGCGATTGAATAGCAGCTTTTGGAACGTTCGCCCAACTCGGCAGCACGACCGCTGATTACTGGGCCTTGCAAAGGATGGATCAATGCTTCGAGAAGCAAACAAATTTACTAGGAAAGAAAGTTGCATCAATTTTTATTTTTTCCAATTTCAATTTTTTATTTTTTATAAATTTTTGTATTTCACATGGCACGCTTTGATTTAGAAGAAAAAAATCAGAACAGTTTTTGACACTTTCGATACCAGAAGCAACAACAAAATACACGCAAATGTTGTTTTTGCTCTACTGATACTACCTGTTTAATGTGCCTTGGTATGAACCTATCTGCAACAAACAAGTACGTTTTAAGCGAAAAATGCAACCGACTTCAATGCGAATATACAAATTTAGGTGTACCATTAATTTCTTCCTGAAATAAGGCTCGGAACTTAACCAAATTATTAGATATGACACCACCCAAAAATGAATTATCGAAAACGGCGACGGGGTCCAAAAAGTTAACCGGTAACATGCAAAAAAACAAAAAATAAAAATTATTTCTCCTTTTTTGAAGTCGGTTAAAAATAATTACACTCCAAAGCCTAATATTTCTTTCTGTAAAGCGAATCTCGGCCAAATTCTTTCATAGTTCCATTTGCTACTTTTTCCATTGGCATTGAACTTCTAATGACGCTAACGCTAAGCTATAACTCTGCTGCATACGTCAAGCAAATAAATATTTATGTTTATAAATACATACATTCATATATCTTTTAATGTTTTTAGTTCGCTGCCTACAGTATTGTTCAAAATTCTCCAGGGAAATTTTGAAATTCGCAACATTTTTTAGAAAATAAAAACAAATTTTTTAGGCTATGTTTTGACCAGAAAGGATTCACTACTGACTCACACTATAATAAAGTGTATTTTAATGTGAAAGATTTTTTACCTTTCTTGCCGTTTTTGCATATTTTTATTCAAGGAAAAAATTCAAAAATTCTGTTTTTTAGCAATTTCTTTGATTCTTAGAAAAAAATTTTCTTTAATAAATATGTTTTTATACAATTCCTTAATATATTTTTGCAATTTTTTTGAAAAATTTCGTAATTTTTTTTTGCTTCATTTTAATAAAATTGTATCGAAATTTTTGATTACTCAAATTAAAGTTTTATTTAAATTCAAAATACTTAATTTTTTTTAGAAAAATTCCATTGATTTTTCTGTTGTTTTCTTTTTGCAATTTCGGTAAAATTTTTCCCTTGTATGTTTTCCGTATTTTACAAATATCCATTATTGCAGCTTAAATTCAAAACTAAAAAATTCATATATATAAAAAAAAAACCTTGAAAATTTCAGGATCTTTTAAGACCATATGGAGGTATTGCATAAAAATATTTAGCCAAGAATTTTTAAACGTTTTTTATTTTACCATTTTTTAAATGAAAAATGTTGCAAATTTTTACATTTAAAATTTTTGTTTATATTTTTTTCTTTATAGCCCCAAATATAGTCTTTAAAACGAGACTAGAACCATTTTTGTAACTATAATTGATTTTGAGAAATTCAAAAGTAAACGTGGAAAATCCCGGAAATTGTAAAATTTAGAATTTTGCATACTTTGGAAAAATATTTTTTTTTTTTCATTTGGTAAAACATGGTTATATGATAAAAGAAAAGTTCTGACCAAAATTCATCCAAATAAAAAATGGTCAGTTCCAACCATTGGTCGATTTGACGTGGATTGACCCATGTATAAAATAATAATAACTTTTCAAGGGCAATACCGATATCACAATCGTGAATTCTGCCAATAATTTACTCACTACTGCATAGCCTTTTTCAGAGCGATTCCCAGTCGGAAAATGTAATGTATAGTACTTAGTCGAAAAAATAATCAGTAAAACCAGTATCTAGTCTAGTATCGAGAAACTAACGTGTTTCAATATACAATTTTTGGAAATTTTTGAATACATTAGAATCCTGATTACATATTTAACAGTAATATAACGAGAACTCATAAGAAATATATTATATTATTTA